GGGAGAAAGGGGGATAAAATCTTAGAAGTGTGGTAACTGTGGGAACATAGGGCCTAATTTTTAAAATGTGGGAACATAGGGCTGTGGAAACATAGGCACGCTCCCTATAGCGGTGCGGTGACCAGAGATCGCAGTGCTGTGCTATAATCCCCTGTTGGGCGTCGGCAGCGGGTCGGGCTGCACCGAGGTCCAAAATGTATTACCCGGTATTGAGAAGAGAAGCGAGAATAACGCCACGCCAAGAGTTTTATCACCTGGACATTGCTTGTGATCAAGCTGCATCAGGTTACGGTCACAGGAAGTGAACCAGTTAACCACATCCAATAAACAAGTTTATATTTGAAAGTCTCCTTTGACCCTACATTTTTAACCAGCAGCCCAGTCACATGTTTTTCACACAAAGAAAGAAATAACATAATAAGTATGTGTGTAACATACCAAAAAAAAGTATAGAAAGACAAATAATGAAGAATTTTTCTTAGTAAACATTTACTTATTGCGGTTACTAGTTCAGTTGAAACAATGTGTTCACAAACATCTGCTACTCATCTCAGCATGTCAGGGAGCCCAAATATGATCAAAATAAACAGCGTGTTTCTTTGTGCGGTCTTTCTATTCGGCCCGGGACAATTTCAAGCTAAAAAAGATATGTGGTCAAATGCAATGCAAATGCAATGAGTATTCTGATCACAATGCGTCTCTGTGCTTGTTTTTAGAGCTGTCCACTTGTAATCTGATCTCCCAGGACACATTTTAATACCAGGTGTCAACAGGCTGTAAAACGAAGCCCAGAATCATAATGTATGTAAAAGAAAAGAGCCATAAAAAAGAATATATGGAACCTCACACTCACTATCACACCGTTCTTCCTGTCCCCACAGGAGGAGTCAGATGTGGGTTTGGAGCGCTTCCCTTCTACCAGTCTGCCAGACCTAGTCAGCACCTGCAATTCCTCGTCCTCCCTCTCTCAGACTGCTCCCCCCTGCTCATCCCAGACCTCCAACTGCAGCACCAGTACCAACCCCTATGGGGTACACAAAGATAATATGTAGTATTGGTCCATGTGTCTCTTTATGTGTGTGTGAGGAGTGTGTCTTTGTACCACTTACATTAATCTACTCCTATCTACAGCAGCAGCCTGTGTCATGAGGCAGAATTAGTGGCCAACTGAAGGGTAGTTAGTTAAGGTTGTGGTGACAGCAGTTGTGGTCCAGCTCCTCCCGGATGGATGTACTTCCACTAAAACACCTCCAGGTTACCTCCAGATGGATGCATCATGATCACATACCTGGATCCCCTCAGCTGATTTCAATACAACAGAGCAGCAACAAAGTGTTCACCTGGAAATACACAATGTATTATGTATATTACAGCATTTAAACAGTCCTTGCTTAAAGTGGATGATCTAAGAAAACCTCCTGTACTGTTTATGAAAATAAATGAAATAAATGTTGTGTGTTTTAATTGTGTAAGTACCAGATATTAGACAGTCCGTAGTTGTTAAAAAAGAGATTAACTGAAAATATATATATATGTGTGTGTTTTTGTCCTTACAGTTGACTAACCTGGATAAACTAGAAGAACAAAGTCAGGGGGGGCCCCCCAAAGGATCATGCTGCAGCCCCACACCCATCAAGCTCTGCAGCCGAAACCGGGGTTAGTACAGAAATAGCTTGTTCATTTACAACAGAATGTTTTTGTTTTTAGATTTATTTATTATTTAGACTATGCATCTATTCCTGGCATGCACCATAACCTGTTTTAACAGTGTAGTCATTGGTACATACAAATACAAAAACTTTTACTGTCCACAATGTGGAAATCAAAGACATTTAATAAAAATACAACTCACAAAACATAAAAAACATGCATAAAATTACAAATCCTGATACACAAGTCTACACTATACATAACATGACATTAACATATTGTGCAAAAAACTGCAGCAAAGTCCTGTATCTGTATCCTAGTCTATAGTATCCTACTTTCATTTATCACCGTGATGGTATTTGGGACAAAGAATTTCATGTAGATATTTCTATTAGCTATAGGAGCAGTGGGTGAGAAAGGTTGCTAATAATTCTGTCAGCTTTACGTCTTAAGGGGTCACCATACATACTATTGAGCTGCTTTTGTTGCTTCCCTGTAAATTTGGAGGCCATGTTCACTATTTTCTGCAGCTTAATGCTCCTCCTAATGTTCAGATTATCATACCACGTGATCATGTTACGGCTAGAATACGTTGAACAAGGCTCTTACAGTTTCCAGAATATTTTAGCTCATTGCAAAATCAAGTGCAGGCGTTCTTAAAAATGTGGTCAGTATTTTCCTTGAAGTTTAAAATAATCAACTATCTTAACCTTTTGCCCATTAATCATTATTAGCTGCATTAAATCTTTGGTGTTTTGTATGATGAGCTCTTTTGTCTTACTGACTTAAAAACAATACCATTAAAAAGTGTATGCATGTAGTATGTGTTATTTTAAGTTCTTTAGAAAAATCACTACTTCTGTTCAGAGGAATGAAATGATTCTTATTTTTGGCTCAGGGGGGAGGAGTCGTCTGGAGTCAGTGGGTGAGGATGATGAGCTATTTGTGGAGAACGGTGTGAGCAGCTGTGAAGTGGCGGAGAAGCCTCCACCTGGCCAACGTAAACACTCCTTACCTCAACAGCTAGATACTGCTGGGGTGAGACAGGTCAGTGAATGCCTTACCTGATTTTTAATCAAGGAGCAAACATTGTACATTGTACCCTGAATTATTTATTTTTAAATAATATCGAAGAAAGATGAGTCAGGCTTTAAAATACAATAAATAAATAAATAAATAGTTCCAGGAAATATGGAGGCCCGGAAACTAAACTCTGGAACAAAAGTCCCTGTCCTCCTGTTTGTTGTTCCATTACATCTGAAGAACCGTGAAGATGAAGCAAATTAACAGATAACAGATTTCACACACGACAAAACAAGAACAGTCACCCAGTTGTTCTTGTGGCATAATTAATGAATCACATAAACCATTGTTGTTAATAAATTGTAGGAAACCGGTAAATAACATAAAAAAACTTTGGTCAAGGGGGAAGGAGACAGCAAGAAATACACATTTAGTATTCTATTCTATATCTATTGGTCTAGAGTTGCTCTCTGGTAGTACATGCTCACTGCATGTGTGCCATCATTAGTTAACATTACGGCAACTCTCTCTCTCCACATGGCTCTGGCAGCACCCACCTACCGTTAGCTAGTAGCTAACATTAGCAAATATTTCTGCAAAATAATTGCTGTAGAATAAAAACTCAATGTATGTTGCTGTTATTAGTACTGAAGCTGTTATCTGTGTTAATTTATTGTAGTTGGGTTTTATGTGAATTTGTTGTGTAAATTCTTTAAGTGTTTTGTATTTATTTATATAAATATATTTAAGTATACTTTAAACTGTTTATACTTTAAGTAGTTGATATATTATATCTTATTATTATATTATGTCAACTTCAAATTTGCTGTTTTTTAATGTCGTCGACCGTCATTTTGTGAGGTTCAGGCACTGTTTTGGCACTGGTTAGGCACCATTTTAAAGGATAAGGAAACAAGCTCTGGAAATGACAAGCATTTGATTTGTGACAGTGTCCTTTAGAGAAACCCAGTTTCCCCACACAGAGATATTCGAAATGGCCAATTTCGTCTGGTGAATGTACATGTCACAAACCTTCCCAAATGTACATATCCATTTGGAATAACTTTGTATGGAGTTGCTGGGTTTCCCATTTAGACGGAACATATTTACGAGTAGCTTAAAGCAGGCCTTTCTTGGCTCATTTAAAGAAATATGCTCCATCTGGACGAATAACTACAGATCTGGACTCAATTGAGACAATGGACAAAAATGGGTCTATGTTGCAACACTGTCCCTCATGTACAAAAAGGCTTCCCACTGTAGATGAAGAATAACGGTGGCTAAATGACCCATCAGTGTGGTCGACCCCCAAGTCGACAGAAATTGTCCCAGAACAGCATCGAAATGGCAATCTCGGTATTGCCATTGTACACCACAGTGACACTGCAGTGACTTCCTGACAATGGCACAGCCGACATTCGGGAAATAATGCCCTACCACCTGACTTAAACAACTGTCAAGGCACAGACTGTGAAGCAGCCCCATGTGCTATTACATATATCAAATTCTAGAAGCGCCGCAAAGAGTGGCAGCTCGACACAACAGCTCCCGCTCCGCCTTATTTTTTCGCCTTAAATCTTACTAGTTCTTTATTCCTCCTTAAATAGCACTATGTAAAATAGTTATAAATAGACCTCCAGTGTTGGTAGGTCATTTTTTTAAACTTTTTTAGCTGTTGTTGAACTTAGTTTTAGTTTAGTTATTTAAAAAAAATATATAAACTGTGTGGGAATGTGGACACAACAACCAC